CCCCCCCGCCGCCTCCCACGCCCGCCGTAGCTCCGGCCCTTTAAGAAAAAAACCCTAGAAGAGCCCTGGGACTCTCCGCTCCTGCAGCGGCCTCTGGGCTTTGTGGGGCTCGTGCAGAGCTCCCCACATGGTGCAGGGCAGTGGGAATCGCCCCCCGCCGGCAGGAGCGGTGAGTCTGGGGTTTTTTTTCTTCTTAAAGGGTCGGAGCCATGGCAGGCGGGGCAGCCATGGGGGGGCTGGGGCAGCAGGGAGGTGTCGGGGGCTTGTGCAGAACCCCCCATGCAGCATGGGGCAGTGGGGGGCAGCGAGGATCCCCCCCCCCACCTGGCAGCACCCACTTTTTAAAAACAAGTGTCAAGAGCTGGGGCAGGTGGGGCAGCTATTGTGGGGCTGGGTGTGGTGGGCCTGGCTGATTCAGAGATTCGGGTATTCAGCAGCAGCCAAATCTCCACATCAGATTCAACTGAATCAATTCTGGACAGTAATTCGAATCACCGAATTGGCTGAACCCAAATCTGAAGCGAACAGTAGCCGCTTCGCACATGCCTAGTTTCTATAAGACAGGCGATAAGACAGTGCCTGTGTGTTGCCATAAAAATAGTCAGAGGAGTGATATTACATAGATGCTCCTTTCCTGACAGGGACATAGTTTTGTGTAGGCTTTGGGTAGCTGTTGCACTTTTGTACCTTATCATAGTTGTTTGGTTTCAGCACTCTACAATGGGATTCTTTAGATGTTTTTAAATATAATTAATTTGCCATTATGATTATCCTCATCATACCATTTGTTGTTGCAACAACTTTTAGAAGAGTTCCAAAAAGTTTAATGATTGATGTTTTCATTTTCCCTGATTTCCTTTTTTTCAGCTACTCTAACAGTTCATTTTGCTGTGTTTTACAATATTTCTGGGACTTTTGCCTACCTTTTATATCAGCTGGTTAGCTCTTACGATTATATCAGCTAATCTTCTGTTACAGTGAACTTTCTGACACTGATGACAATCTCATTCTGTGTCCAGTTGAGCTGAGTTTTTCACTACTCTTTAGTGGGCCGTTCTTCTGGATCCTTTTTATGTTGTGACAGTCTCTACTAGTCTGTACTGAACCATGCATCAATAGGCTGGTAAACCCATAGAGGATCATATTTAAAACAACAAGGTATGTTTTTTCGCTATTACATGCAAGAGCTGAAATTATGTTTAGATTTTTTTACAGCCAATATCTACGTGAAAGACAGCAAAAAAAGAACACTTT